TTTTTAAGTTATCGTGACCTCTTTTTGTGTGGCGAACAGCTGATCCTACCGTGTCATCATCTAATCGTGTGTTTCGCAGATGTTTCGCAGATGTTTCGCAGATTTCATAAGTAACGAATATTTTAAAGCGCGGGCTAACTTCGAGGTAGCGGCGATGCAATCGCCACAGTATAATCCCTATATTATTGTAAATTCAATCACACAGCAATCATACATATCCGAGGACACAATAATAATAATAATAATTTTATTGAAATGCGGTATAAATAAAAGAAGAAAAAGTGAGAATTAATACATAATAGAAAGGAAGATACACTTCAAAAGGTCAGCATGATGCTATTCTGAAGTCTAAACCTGACAAAAATTAAAAATAAAAACACAACTAAAAATATACATTAAAGCAAAAGCAATAGGTATACAATAATCGTGACAGTAAATAAATTGCTGGTACAACAATACAAGAAAAAGATAATGTATATTTATAGCTATATTAATCAAAAATGGTAATATTAATTTGAAGCTATTATTAGAAATAAGATATTGGGAAACAGCATATGAATAGCCGGTACGTGCGTGTTTCTTTTTTTATACAACGCAACAATGACGACTAATGATTCATCACCAGCTGATCATGCCTCTCTTATCTGTCAGAATCATCGGACTTTGTATCGTTCTGTCACGTTATCGAAATGTGCTTCCCGATACAAGGTACACAGTCAAACGCAGTATGTGTCACCATAATCAACAAAGTTGCGCTGTGTGGACTTTTGAATGAGACTGAACGATCGAAGACGAAGTAATCGGTGAATGAGGCTGGTTTGCAATTATTCATCATTAGGTCTGTGAACAGCATGTTAAATCCGTTAATTCTGACCATGGTGCTTTCGCACTCGTTCTTCCTCGTTCCACGCTCGTTACGACGGTCATCAGGATCGCTCCGGGGCGACTTTGCGTGCGAGGTCACGATGTCCGTTCTTAAAGCAATCGCCTCGGTGTTCCTTATTAGGGAAATTGCACGCGCGAGAGGGGGTCATCATTTATTCTCTATTTTTGGGTTTAAACAGATGCGCTCGTGTACACGAATGCACGATGCCGGAAACGGATGACGAATAATGCGACCGAGAACCGATTTGTTAGAACGACACGACGAACGGAATAAATACGCGGTCGGATAAAAATTCGCGGGTCCCGCGGTGGGTAATATCCGCATAGCGACGGATACCAAGTGTTGCCCAATTACCGAAATAAAAACAAGCGGTTATCTGAAGCTTATCGCGCAATCGAATGATCGCCCGGTCGAATTTATGGCGCGATAAGCGCGCGTTACGCGCGCCGTCAAGTTCAACATCTCGAGATACCGCGCGCGGCTTCGCGTAATCTCGAGATATTCGATTTCGGAGAGCAGGCGTCGAGTGCCGAAGGATTCTTCAAGAATCAATTTTATCGATGATGAAAGATCCTTATAATAGCGCATTCGAACGGCACGGAATATCACGTGTACACCTACTATTCTTTCACATGTACGAGGGTCAAGGTGCATTTCACTTGTGCATAGATCGCGTTATCAAAAGATTTCTTTATCTCCCGATGGCGCATGTATATATGTATGTACACGTAGGGACGGAGACTTTTGACTTTCCTGAATGTGGAAATACTTCATCCAAGCGGACGGAGGGAAGGGGGGGGGGTGCGGGATGGTTTATTTCAATAATATACAAATATTTTATTTCTTTTGTTGCATGCGCGAAGAATATTTTCTACGTATATTCTTCTTATTTTATTTCTTTCCATTTATTTTCTCTTTACAAATCTAAATCATGTTCTTTTTATCTCGACATTGCGCAGGAACTAGTCATGCAAATATTGTTTTTTGTTAAATCACTTCAAATGTCTTAAAATTTGTGAAAAATTAAAATACTTTTTTCCCAAATTCTGGATGTGGAATTTCACATCCACAGGAGCTTTAGGTATAGAAAGTTCCGTACCCTACGTAAGGGAGTCTCCGTTCTTAATGTACACAATAATAATATGTATTTTTAATATCTACATATACGTGCTTTTCTGTTGCTACGGACTATTCACGGTGCGTGATGTTTATTCAAAACAACTTTACATCAAATCATAAATAAAGTTATATAAAACGTAATACAGATTCATCATATATTCAGTTTTGAATATTCAGAAGGCAATCTGTTCGTTTTTTTTTTTTTTTTGCAAAAACGCGTGTTACGAATAAAACATTTTCCATCTTCTCTCGTATTTATTTTTTTTTATATGCAATTAAAACGCAAATGCGTTATAGAGAATTGCGCCTTCGTAGTTATTTCCGAGCGACTGACTTGAAACATGTAAACGTTTAGACTTTGAAGTGTTTTTGCGCCGGCCGAAGCTCGAAGTGCACGCGATGTGTCTTGTAACGATGTTGAAGTGCAGTTTTATAAATCGACGTCACGGTTTAAGGTTTAAGAAGTGCGATTTTATAATTCCAAGAAGATAAATCGTGGATGCCCCGCTGCGCGAGGAAAGATAAAAGGAATCGAGATTATCGGGGTGTCACAGCACTGACCTCAACGTTATCTCTCAATGCATCTATTCAGCGGCTCCAACCGTTCGAACAGTCTCGATAATTTTTGTCAGAGCAGCCATTAAATACAGAAAAATACAGAAACTCTTAATCCCTGAATGACTCGTTTCGTTTACATACGAAAGAATATACTTTATATACTTCAAGTAATTCTCCGCCTGACCAGTACTTTCCTCACTTAACGATGGACATTTTGCTGGTACAAAAAAAAAGTTGTTTAATTTAATAGCCTTCTATTCTACCACTTACTTACAATTAGACAAGTTCGATCATTTTACATGATAACGATTAGTCAACTTAAAATAAATCAATGTATGTAATAACGTAGTAATGAAAGATTGATCTTTGCAGATATAGCGAAGTTTTACACACGTGCACGCGAGTCCGACATTAAATCCTGTAAATTTTTCGGGATTACGTATCGCTGTTTATTATGCAAAGCTAAATAAGTCTATTCATAACTTTCAGAATGCATATAATGACCGTCGCCATTACGTCAGTGCAGACGAATATAAATTTCGATATCCTTACCGGTGGAAATCAGTTCATTTTAAAATGGCAATATTTGTGTATTGGATACATTTCTGAGCTCAGAAGGCTAATCTTTAATTTTGTGACAGTTTGTAACCGCTTATATGATTTATTAGCAAACACGCAAAAAATAGAATTCAAAAATATTTATATCCTTTTGCACGATGCACAAAAGAGCCTTAGAATTAATATAAAAAATATTTGTCTTTTCTTTCTTTAAATTTACAGTTATTCTCCACGTATCTTTTTATCGCAGTTGTAATTGTAACGAATTTTCAACTAACCGCAAAATTATAAACGGTTTCTTAAAATTACTAAATGGTAACGGAAATTTAAGGTATTGTAAAAAGTTGCGCAATGTACTCTGCGCAACTTTTGTCCAGTGCACTACTCAGCGGCTTGTGGAAACGATGTTCTTTCTCATCAAGCTCACGGATAGAGAAAGGTAAAAGCAAAGAGTAGTGATGATTTTAATATATATTGCTGTTAATATTATTTATCTTCTTGATATATAAATAATAAAATAATACGAGCGAAATATGTTTACTCAAATAACTAAGTACGTATAGATTATATACAATATTCTCAATGCATTAAAAGAGATTTAAAAAATTTTTTATTGGTTTATTTATTTTAACATATATGTATACAGATTATAATTACCTTGGCACTTAAATAATAAGATAATGTGAGCAAAGTATGTTTATGCAAACAATTGCGTACGTTGTTATATGATAATACTCAATATATCATAAATGTATAGTCAAAAAGTATGTACACTCCAATATAACTCTTTATAACTATAAATATACTTTATTACTAAAATTATACTTTATAAATATAAAGTATTTTTTAATTATACATTTGATATATTGAGCTTTATAACACACATCACGTATATATGCAGTTGTTTGCATAAACACACCTTGCTCATATTATCTCACTATTTATGTGTCAAGGTAATTATAATTTGCATATATGTTAAAATTAATAAACCGATAAACAATTTTTTCATTTTTTTTCAGTTACAGTTACTGCAAATTACTAAACTATAATGGAATTTTCAAAGACGTGTGACTAAAGCTTTATGCAGTTACTGCTTCTGAAATTTATATTCCCGTTTAGTAAATTTCAGAAACGATAACTCCATAAAGCTTTAGTCACACGTATCTGAAAATTCCCACAGAAATTTCTAACAGTGTATTTCTCTCTTTTTTATAAAAAATTATATATTTATAAAATATCCAAAAGAGATTTCTCCAGAACTAATTTTAAAATATTAATAATAATTTATATGAACTATTTACAAAACATTACTATTTAACGATATTTCAAGACACGGGGATAATCTGCAAACCGTAACTTGTCTAAAGAAAATACCCGTGGAAACTTCAAAGTGTTAATAATTTCCATGTTATAAAATATAGCGAAATCTTATAACTATGTAATTAATTATTAATTAATAAATTATTAAATTATTTTTAATTACGAGAATAATTTTATTGTAAATTATTCTTGTATATCAGAATAATTATACGGATATTATATAAACTATCTGAATTATTATTTAAAAAAGTGTAGTTTCCTACAAGAATCAATTAAAATAAATTTTTTTTTAAATATGAGTTACCACGCCAATTTGTTCTTTATCCTGATTGAGAACGATTTTGCGCGATAACCCAGTTTTAAAAAAATAAATTTATTTGATTTTTATGAAAATCGCAAGTTTAATAAAAAATTAAAATAATAAAAAAGAAGTAATAAATTAATATAAAAAATAGAAAAACTTGAATATTCTGTTAATAAAATTCGCTTTCTAAAGAGCATGAGCAAATTTGTAACAAAGGCGCATATTTCTTCTCTGAAATAAAAAAAGTTCAGAGTACAGTTTAGGTGCGCCAAAAGAAGTGCGCAATTTTATAATAACAATATTTTGATAATGAAAAAGCGAAGATTTTCTATTTTGCAAATTTGAAATAAAAACACTCGAATAAGTTTTACGTCCTACAGAATTAAATTGTGAAAAATGATAGGTTCACACCAACCTTGGAGGAGCTTCTTTAGGGTCTCAAGGCCCTTTTTTACATTCTCCTCGGTTTCCCTGAGTTCCTTCTCGGCCACGGCCCTGGCTTCGGGCCCGGGTGGATCCGTTTTGAGAACAAATAAAGACATGTTCACGATCTGCTTTTCTTTCTGTCCTGGTTCCTTTCTCGGTCCCGCGCTATTCTCAAACTGACTGAGCAACGCCGCCGGCAGGACAATCATCACTTATCTATCAGCCACCACCACCACCGAAGGAGAGTACCTCTTATGTGTCGTCCCCGAGACAATCTTTGACCGCTCAAAGTCCATCCCGGTATTCCGAGTCCACGTTTTCCGCGCTTCGACTATTCGAACGAGCACTGATTTCGTGCGCCGGTTGCCTGGGAGGCATCCACGTGGAAGAAGAGCTGTCCATTTGGCTTTGTTTATTAATTTTCCGGGTCACACCTCCAAAATAGTATCTTAATAGGCAACTCTTTGCTCCAGTGCTTGTATAATGGAATGTAAACTACGTGTCACTTGAGAAAATTGTTCACATTCTAAAGAAATATCGAGCTTGACCGATAAACACTCTTATCATCGGAGATCATGCGCGGCTTTTCTGTTTATCGAATCCGATCTAAAGACATGCCTAAGGCCGTAATCACACTGCGGGCTTGGTTGCAGTTGGAATTATATAATTGATTGTTGGAAATCAATCAATCAAAGCGAAGAAGTTCGTCGGTTAGGTTACAGATTTAAAAAATAAACTTGTCAGGTCTAAATTATGACTATTTACTCAATCGGCGAACTGCTTGATCGCTCTGATTGATTGATTTTCAACACTCAACCGTAACCCTAAAGTATCGTGCAATTTTTTTTTGTCAATTTTTTACGGCTTACTGCTACTGCGCACTGCGTAAATCATGTAAGAAAACCATAAGTAGTAAAACGTAAGCAGTAAGTAAATTAACAATTTTTTTATTTGCTACTGCTTACGTTATCACCTTACGTTCTCGACTAGAATTGACTGATTTGCTGACTGCTTAGATCAGCATCACAATCACACTACAGGTTGCGAGCTCGATTACAGCTATGCGGCGTCTACAATGAGACTTAAGATTTAAGATTTAAAAAAATTAATTGACCATATAATTAATTATTTTTTATTTCTTCTTACGTGAAGTAAATAATCAACTATGAATTTTCTTAAATCTTAAGTCTTAAGTTTCATTGTAGACACCGTATAGCTGCAATCGAATCCGCAACCTATAATGTGATTGTATGCTGACCTAAGCAATAAGCAAATCAGTCAATTCTAGTCGAGAATGTAAAGCGATAACGTAAGCAGTAACTAAAGATGAAAATGACTCAATCTGACGATAATTTATTTGGTAAATTACGATAAATGGTAAGGTAATTTTGGGGACTTAGTAAAATGGTAATTTAAAAAAAACTAAAATAAAGTTTTAAAGAACCATTTAGCATTAAGAATTATGAATAAACACTTTATTTAATTCATGTTTTACAGATCTGTAACAGATAAATCCTTATTTACTTTATATTAATTTATATTTATCACATTTTCGCGACTATTAGTATTTATATAAAATTTTTTATATAATAAAAAACACATAGAATTATAAAAACAAAATAAATTACTCTATTTTGATCTTTTTATAACTATAATTAATAATGCACCAGCACAACTAATATCGCAGAAAAAGTTTTATAGTTTTAATTAATAAAAT